GAGAGAGAGAGAGAGAAAGAGAAGAACAAAAAAACAAAGTCATTAATCCAGCGGATTCAATGCACGCACAGGTATTGAGACGTCGGTCCTCTGGAGGACGCAGCCCACACGCGGCCCTCATCTTTCGTTCGGTGAGTCCACTCAAGGCATAGGCTTCAATCATCTGAAAGCATGCCTCTCGGGAGTAATGAAACTCAAAACCATGCTGTTGTTCCAACGCGGCGGCAATGGCAGGGCCACTTTCCAGAAAACTGCGCAGAGAAGGATCTTTTCTGAAAATACCATCAGCTTCCGGATCTGGGTAAGCTGCGCCGAAGGCTGTGTCTTCGACGAAGATCGGCTTGGGATTCCATACCAGACAGCGCCGGTAAATGGAATTAAAGTTTGCTTCCATGACATTCCGGAATGTCATGATTTTATTGGTCTCAAAACGTTTGAAACCCGTGACCCTCATCATTTTGGTCACGAAGCCGTAGGGCTTCCGACCTGCCAGGTCATCAGCGGACATGAACTTCTTGTAGAGGTCCTGTTGGAAATGCCGGTGTGTTTCTGGAGCCTCTTGCGCTGTAATTATCCAACAATGAGCAAATTGCTCAAGTTGCTTTCTCATCTCCTCCTCGTTATGAAAGAGGTTGGGGTCAACAAAGGCATGGTTATGCCCGTACACCGCAGCTAAATGGCTGCTGAACAAAGATTGACCAGTGCCGCCTGCCGATTCCCCAATGAAGCAGCGATCGATATTTTCTCCACGTTTTGCGAGGGCGATTGCAGCGAGAGTCGCCTTGTAATACTCTTGGTTGCACCAGAAGGTCTCCTTCACAAATTTCTGAAGTCTAGACCTGGCATTCGTCAAAACAGGATCTGGCAAGGGCGATCGAAGAGCATGAGGAATTCTGACGTAGATGTTGTTGTTCGGTGACGGCTTCACAAGCTGCACGTGTTCTTCTGGCGTGACATCATAGAGCACCGAGATGTCCTGGTACGCACATCCACTCGCTCTGTCCGAAGGCGAATCGCACCACTGGACGACGAAGTGAAGTAGTCGTCCTCAGCTGGAATGCCGATGTTAACCCGACATGACGTGTAACTGAGCTGGCAACACTAAAAACTACAAAGGCTTTATACAACATGCCTCAACCCTCGACATCTAGAGTCGCTCTTCCAGCAAATCCTTCTGCAGCGGTGCCATAACTTTCGAAAGCATGAAAGCTGTTCTTTCGGGCCAACCTGCATGAGAGGAAGGATCTCCTTCTTGCGCGGATGATCCCTTGCGTCGCGTCCCCGTTGTATCCGACATCAGGGCTGTGTCTTCGCAGAGCGCCATAAACTCCACGACGCTGTTGTAAAATGACATCACTCTAGCGACCTCCCGAATGATTGCGGAGTCCGAGCGTTCCGTGGCAGGCGACATGAGTCGAAACAGGCCTTCTAATCGCAGGAGAGTTTTCTTCAACCTGTAAAAAGTCGACTCCGGCGGAACGCCGCTGTAGGGATCGAAAGCTCCGTCGCTGTGGTACAAGAAACATACACCACGATGGGCACGAATATACCTATCGCCTTCGATGATCCAGAGCAGACCAACAAAATCTCGGACGAAAATGTCAGTAAGACGAGTTCTGTACACATTGATAGCGGCAGCTGTCAGACGTACCATGTCCTCAGGCCATGTCGGCTGCTGGAGACGAACATATTCAAGTTGTCTCTTGGCATGCTCTTTGACGGATGCCACTGGTTGGTGCTCGTCTGCAATAGGACATGAACTCAAGGAGGACGAGCACGCCTTTGACGCCAGACCGAATAGATCATCGAACTCTTGACCAGAGGTGGACGCTCCAGGCATCAAGCGTCTTCTTTTGGCTGAAACGACAGCATCCTCAGGAAGGCCGGAGGATGGTATGGCCACAGCTAGTTCTTTTTGGACATCTTCCGTTTCATCTTCAACCATAGACAAGGCCAGCGTCGCGTCCTGTCTTTCATACACCGCCTCGTCGGGTAAGAAAGGAGATGCAGCATCAGCGCCACTCGTGGCCACATCCATCTGTGCTTCCAGTTCTGCATGCACGCGGGCACCGAAGGATGCTTGCGAAGCGTCTGCATCTGGCTCCTGAGATGCACCGCCCAAATAGTCCATGAGTTGGTTTGGACACACAGGACAGCGACGGGCGGGAGATCGCAGCCTGTGAACATTGCAAATCCACGTGGAACACAACGGACAAACGCACCAGTTGCCAGGATGCAGGGTCCAGTCTCTTGCACAAATGGCACAATTGATCTGTGCGTTCCAGTCGATCGGCGATGCAAGCGGACGAAGATGCATAGCTTCCCAAACGCCGCCTGGCTGCACGTGCATCAAGACGGACAGCTGCGCCAATGAAGACGGTCCATCTGGAAATTCTTCATGTAGTCTGGCTCGAGAAACGCCAACGCCATCGATCGAAAACTCGAAATGCCGCCGGCTCCAGCTGACCCCAAAACGATGAACTCGTTCTGGTTGCAGCAAGCACGTGTTTCTGCGCGGATGCACTTGCGGGGATTCATCATTGAGGCCGATGAACACCGCTGGATTCGAACGCCAAGGGTTGACAACGCTACAGTATGCCCGCTGTTCGCTGTGCTGCCATTGACGCACGCCGATGTAGAGGCCGATGGCACAAGCGGGAAGTCGGAGATCGAAAATCGCCGCTCCCATCAGCGGACCACGAGACTTGAATCCGGTCACAAACCGGTTGGGCTGCTGAGAGCAAGTGACCTCTGCATCCCACTCCAGCGCAGTTCGCGGCGGGAACGAATGGAACATAACCAATTGCAGATCCTGGGAAAGGCCAATGATATGCCAGACTCTCCAAGGAAACAAACAACAAAAACATCTTATATATAACTTCTTGCCAGACAAGCCAAGGCACATTCACAGTCACAACTCTGGCCTCTTCCAATGCGAAATGGAGGTCCCGCAACACCGACGCCTCCAGAAATTCGAGGCCGCGCAGCGACAAGCTGCGGCCTCGCCAATGCTCGCGACTGCGCGCCGAGCGAAGCATGCCTCTGCATGTCCAGGATAGGTGTTTTAGGAAATTGTAGGAGAAAAAATAGCCTGGAAGAAGCTCCAAGGCCTCAGAGGGCAAGGACCCTCCGAGCTCGTCCACATCCTGGTAGGACAGCTGAGGCGGACTTCTGACCCATCTAAAGCATCCACTGGCGTCACAAACCCATTCTCCTGCAGACTCACTACTGACAGAAAGTGCATCGTTGTCGGCTGTGAATGCCGGCCCCCAAAAACCCGACTCATCGTCTGAATCGTA